CCGCAAGAGTTCGAAAGCTCAGACAAATAAAACTACGATTCCAGTGATCGAAGCCACTTCTTCTCAATTTATGCACATACCTGGGATGCGAACCTTTGCCTCAATTCCTTATACAAAATGTTTACTGGCCTTCAGTGTTTATTATTCTGTGTCAACCATTGGCCCTCTTACCGCAAGCTACCTTAAAGAATGTTTTAACTCCTTCTTTATATCTCCCAATTGCTTAACAAATTTATGATATCACAAAAAATGTTTCTAGATGAAATTGGGAAGACCGTCCCCATCGGCAAGAATAATAATTTACTTAGAAGTTTGTCAGTAATGTAAAAAGTAGACATTCTGGGCGACATTTTGTAGGGAGTTGGGGTTTGCTTTGTGGTCAAATTTTATTTACTTCTCTGCCTAGAACTCAGCGGGATTTATTTGGGAGCCCAGCTGTTTAATAGATTTTTCGAACAAGTGAAGCATCAGCCAGCCGAACTTCTAATTCGATAGCCAGACCCCTTGTTAGGGTAAGCTGTATACGATAGGATACCTACGCGATCAGATAACATCTGTTATGACGCGCACTCCAACCGCCGAACTCCCGGATTCGTCCCTGTAGGTTCCCCTGAACTGCCTAACTTAAACATGCCAGTTGTGCGAGTTAACAGATGTTGCTTCCTCTGAATTAGGTAGATAAACTAATAAAACTCACGGTACGAAATGCCTGTTTCATGGCAGAGTACAATGACTTCAATATCATCCGAGCTTGCTTGTGGTCTCTTACAAAGTAAACAAAATATACTTAATTTACTGAGGAACTAGCATCTACCATTCTAACACGTTTAACACATGATTGTCTTTGAGTTCGTCCTAGTTATTATGAAATAAACTTTGGCTGATGAACGCTCATCGGTCGCTAACGGAACTCACTCGTCCCTTTCTACCTTGAGGCTCATTCTCAAGCCTCCCCAGCAGCCGCACAGCGGTTAGTAGTGGAGGCAAATGAACATTGCCTACCAGTCACAAAGTGGATTGGCTCTAACCGTGGCTGCTTAAATCTGCTGATCAAACCTTAATGATTTGAAAATCTCTACATATCCGGATCATCTATTTCTCTTATAGGATTTCAAAAATGTTTTCTTGACGAATATACAAATGACTGTCACCTGGAGAGCGATCGTGACGTACGCTATTGACATCCATGACCGAGAATATGCTGCGGAGGAGGTGAGTCTCAATAACGTTCAATGTTTTTAGGAGCATAGTTAAGTTTCCCTCTACAGCTAGAGTTCGGACTCCTACTATAAGAGCTTATTCAACTTCCGTCTATTTATGAAAAACAATCAAGGCCCTGTGTAGTTTAGCAGTGGTTTCTGTTTATAGTAACAGTGACAATTCAAGGCAGGAACTGTCAATATTTAGATGCGCATTCACTTGAGCTTCTGTCTGATATATTAATAAGCTAAAAATTTCCTACAGCATAAAGGTTATTACTGCTGAATACTGCTTGTTTACTGGTACGCTCAATAGAGTATGTTGTTCATATCAAGGTTCACTCCAGTGTTGTCTCCAAATGTTTTAGACATTTCTTACTCTATTCTATTCGGTTAGTTGTCCTCTCCTCACACTTTATATCACCCCTGGCATTTCTTTTACGTCAAAACTTCCCTGACAATAATATAGGTTTGCTGCACTCATTACAATTTGCCCTCGAGTTCAGCTCAAGCCTTTTTATTGAAATTTTAAATAGTTTAAAAAGAAAGCCGTCGTTACAGTAAGAACACTCGCCGTTTGCCGACCAGCTGGAAAATCTAAAATTTTGATAATCTGTCTACGTATTATATGAAACGTGACAAGCATTTTCTTCACATTTACAAGACGGCCCTCAATAAACAAGTATGCGCATGTGACAAACAACAAAACATTTCGAGCTCCTATTCTCTGCTTCGGCTGGCACACCCCATCCCAGGCTCCCCGCTAATTTGAGTTATTCCCTTCTGTGCCTTTTTGACTTGCTCTTTTGTGCGCAAAATTGACCTCAATCGAGTTTACTTGTTGATTCTTCACACTATTAGCAACAGCTTGTTATTTCTCTTTACCTTTCTCCGCTTACCTTCGGTTGATTTGTTTACAATGAAATCATTTTATTATTCCTATTTTATTGGTCCATTTTATTGGCCCAATGTAAGTAAGATTAGCTCGTGGGACTGATTCAATGTATCGAATCATACAGTAACACTGGCCTAACACCTTCATTATATGTTAGAAGGTAAGTTGGCTCTTGTCATTTGGTTTGCCGAAGTCGTAGCTCAGACTTCCGTTCTTCGTGTCGGAAACATTCGTTCTGATGATCACAGAGGCACACCTGCAGTATCTAAGTAGTGATTATGCTTAGAGCACCACAATCATCAGACTAAATTCCAGGTTGCAGGTAAAAAAACAGAAAGCGACAGAATGAGGGATTTATTCTTCACCGACCCTTCAGTTGCTGTCTCAGGCAGCAGTGGCCACTGGTAAAGCCAGAGTTAGTGCTGACTGCAACCCGTCATATCTGAGAGAGGTAGAGTTAAATAATGATGGCAGCTGTTTTACAGGTTTGTTGAGCAAGTTCGGGTGTTCTCCTATTGGCGTATATTGCATTATCCGAAGGAGTGGAGTGTTGTGTATATTGGTCCATACTGCATTGACCGGGATGAAGTGCTCAAGTAGCCCTTAGGCAACCGCAACTACCTGGACTTGCGAGTGGAAGTCAGCCTAGAGTCCGCAGGTCAGAGAGTCGGAAAGCTTTCTCTGTTAATTTGCATGACCTTGAGATAGCGGGCATCGTAGAAGGGAGTCGGACGGCAATGTTAGCTGTTCGCTGCACATCTACCCATCTATCAGGGCTATAGATCATGTTAACGTGGGAAACGAAGTATTGTTTTAGGAATTGTTGTCTGCTTCTCAGATCTGGTCGAAGTGTCTCGTAAGCTTTCGCAGTAATCAGCTATGTAATTTTGGAATGCTCCAAATAATACACATTTCGAAGTAAGGTATTATGTAGCTCTCAGAGATTTGTTTTTTGATGATTTAATTCCGGTGTTGTTTTCACCCATTTTTTCGCTCTATCCACAATCCAATATCATCTGTTGCTAGAAGCCTAGAATCGCAGGCGGTTTCAGTTTTCCCTGCATGTTAATCTCGATTCTCATATCTACCGATAGTGCCGATTACCCTGCATGCCCGCCATTTGGAACAATCTTGCGTAGCTTATACGACTGAATATTTAAATCTACCAGGTCTTCTTTTTTTCGACTTTTAGTTCGATCTCAAGATATTCAATAACCTTGAGCCAGCACCTGTTTATCCAAAGAACCTGCCCCTCTACATTGGACTGGCTGCATTTGCCGGCCTTCTTTTGTTAGCCATTCTGATTATCATCCTGTGGAAGGTAATGTTCTGGACCTTTAATATGCATTTTTGTTTATTATTAAATGTTAGAGCTAACGTAGCAATAAGAACGAGACGAACTTTCGGCGTACGTATTCAGGAAACTAACAGCATAATATTTTGAATTTTCTCTTTGATTTCTTTTGATCATTAACCTTTTTGCTTTGAGCTGCATCCTTACTGTGCCTCGAAGCTTTGAACGTCGCCTTCTTGCAAAATCTCATTAAAATTTTCAGAATGAGTTAAATGGCGAGAATCCAAACTTCTGCCAAATTAGCTAGGGCCTGTCGACGTGGTGCCTGTACACTAAGATTTACTGGGGCAGGATGCCAACTGATCATTCACAAACAATTTTAAGTTCGTGGGACAGTGTGCCATAATTTAGTGCTCAGACCACTTCCTTTGGAAAATTTAGTTGCTTCTAATCCAGTTTCAACTATCGCTCAGTCTTTGATACCGACATTCATGTGTTGCCGGATTTACCGTATATGCATTCCAGTTTGTGTGGTCATTAGCTTTGAAAACAGGAGTTCGGAAGTGCCAATTTGAATAGTAATCTAAGGCGACACGACGGACGTCCGTACCTCAATTGTTTGCTTCGTAGTTCGAATTAAGCATCATCGGTCTGGAATTTTGTCTACCAACCAGAACCGCATTGACTGGGATTGTGGATAGTCCTACAGGAAAAGAACTTTAACAACCTGGACTGGATAAAGCAGTGTCAATACAAGCGAACATGCGTGTCCCATAAAGTAGTGTGTAAACCGACCAATGCACATTGTACATTTGTATTCAGCATAAACTGTTTTTATAAGTGATCGCACTGGTATTCCAAAGTAAGAAGTTTTCCGATTAATGACTCATCCAAGAAAGTGTAATTTTTTGATATAAAATAGACATGGCCATGGCCGTGTCTTGCCTCATCAGAACACACCCACTAGGCGCGGCCATATGTTGGCAGGGTAGGCATCCCGCCCCCAGACGCCGAAATGTAAATTCATCCCTGACTCAAAGAAACCTCTCCGACCTTTAATTCACGCGTCTGTTTTAT